AGCTCGCCTGCCCACCGGGCTTCCCCTCCGCCACACGGCTCGGGGCCAGGCACGAGCGCCCGCGAGTTAAAAGGAAGCCGAAAGTTGCTGGGAAGTTGCTCGGGTGCTGGGAGCAGGCTTTTAAAGTGCTGCCCAAGCAAAGTTTAAGCAGCCCGCCCGCCCGCCGGGCGGAACCCTTCCCGCTCCTCAGCGGGAAGATGCTCCAGCCCCGAAAAAAAAAGGGGGATCGGCGGGGACTCACCTTCGGAGAGGTCGCACTCGAAGGTGATTTCGAACTCCCAGCCGAGGCCTTTGCAAAGTTCTTTTCTTTCCTACCCCAAGAGCGCTCCGCACTGTTTTGCAGCTTTGGGGGCCATGCGGCACAGGGCAATGCGATTTTTTTTCAGGGGCGGGCCGGATTGGACAGACCAATGGGCCGGATGTGGCCCGCGGGCCGTAGTTTGCCCACCCCTGTTCTAGCGGGTAAAATTAGGAGTAATCAGTAAAAAATAGCTTCCTGTTCCTTTTCTCCAGTGTGAACAACATTCTGTTCATGGGAATGCTAAATTTAAGCACACCAGAGACAAGATTCGGTAGTCCTGCAGGAACTGGAAATAGGCTACAGACAAGAAAACAGGGGGGCATGTGACTGGGCAAAAGATATTCCTGCATCTTTTTCTGTTCAGGAGGCTTTCAGATAAGGCCTTTATTTTGTAGTCATGCAGTTTTCACTAGAATTCTCCAGTATTCATTTGGAAGCCAAACACCAATTTATCTTTTTTTTAATTACTGGCAAATTAAAAATGCTAGTTCCCCTCCCCACCCCCCAAAAAGAAAAAGATTGAAGTAATTTACCAAGCTTTTCAATTAGTAATGGGTAGGAACTTTCCATCTTGAGGTATGCTCAACTTACTAACACCCCTCTCAGTAATAATAAGGAACAACCATATAGGCACATATCTTCATCATTTCCATCATTTCATCATTACTAGCAACTCATATAACCACAGCTGTTCTGTGTCCTGGTAAAAGGTGACTTCCCCCTCATCCAGTTAATATCATTTGTCTAACCATCCTGTTGTTTCAATGACCAGGTCTTCAAACTAGTTGCATCAGGCTGAATCACAATAAACTGTGGGGCCAGTGATACTGAAAGTGCTTTGTGAACATGTGTGGTATATATGCAGTGGCAGTCTTTGTACCTGAAAACAATTCATAGGGAAGTTTGTAGCTATCGTGTTTTCCCAAAAATAAGACCCGGTCTTATATATTTTTTGGGGTGTGTGTGTCCAAAATAAGGATTAGCGCTTATTTTTGGGGAAAATATGATTATCAGGGTGATCCTCCTGGCTGGGCGCCCTACCCCCCATTGTGCGCACAAGAGGCAGCAAGAGTGCGGGCACCAATGGTGTCCGGCAGCAGCTGCAGCCTGACAGCCCCTTGGTCAGCATACCCTGGAGCTGCGCAACCTGAGTAGCACAGGTGAGTTGATTACCTGTCCAAGCAGCAGACGGAGGCAGAGGCGCTTGGGGGAGGAGGCTTGCAACCTGGACATACCACACAAGCTGTGGGAAAGTGGAGAGTTGATGGGGGGGAGAGTGGGTGGCTCACCGCAGGAGGTTCATCTTCATGAGATGGCACCAACGGCAGATGGAGGCAGAGATGTGGGAGAGAAGGCAGGCAATCCGGATGTGCCACATGGGCCACAGGCAAGCTGAGAGATGCAAAGACAAGCCTCCCTTGGCCGCCTGCCTGCTCTGTAAACCACTTAGAGTGGACTGTAAAGCACTGTAAAGTGATATATATCTAACTCTAAGTGCTATTGCAATTGCTACTACTCTGCTTAAAATCTGGATTCTATCACTCTTTGCTAGTAAACAGGGAGCCAAGGAGGTGGAGTGCTCAGCCTGAAGATAAGCAAACTGTGGCATTCTCCCTATACACTCCCTGCCAATGCAAGACTAGACACTCATGGAAGGGAGCAGCATCATGTCCTTTCTTTCCCTCAAGCCAGGGATCTCCTCCACCATACTCTTGCTGCGATCTGTCAGGGTGGCAGTGTCACATGATGGCCAGGACTGAAACATTCTCTGTACACTGTACTGTTCTCTTGCCTGCGTACTCAAGCATGACAGGCAGGAGACACTTTGCTGTTTACATCTGCATAAGGTGGGTTGATGATTGCCTCATGAATGCAGCCTTAGGTCCCTCTGTCCCTTACAACTCAAAACTTGGCTTGCAAGAAGGCAATCTTGCTTCTAAAATCTAATCTGAAAAATGATCAACCCTTTCATGATTCATGTTTTAAACATTCTCTGTATTTCCAAATGCTGTTTGTCAGCTGCAGTCCCTAGCAGCCTACTTGTATGACTCATTGATTCCAATAAGATGTGACTACATTTTAGAAATGCAACAATGCTAATTCATGAATTAGAAGAATTTATCACAGGACATAAATATAAATGGGGAAGACTCCATGCTTTGCGCTGAAATCTAAAATATCTGAATACCTAAGCACTAAGTATATAGGGCTGCACACCAGTGCCTCAATTTGATTATTTTACAAAACAGTTCAAGAAGTCCTTTTATAAGTCCTTTAAGAAGACCCAAATGCATGGAAAACTTCACTTTCTAAAAAGGATCTCTGTAAGAATTTCTGCTTCCACCTATGACATATCATAGTTCATGAAATGTCATTTTATTCAGTGTCTCTTCAGCCCTTGTCTGCTTGGAACTGAAAGCTTTATGTAGTTTATCTTCAGTGTGCTGGAGTATAATGAGTCCAGTGGGAACACTTTGTTTACAGATTCTTGACTGCTTCTGTAATTTCTGCTGCTTCTAGTTCCTCAGCAGTTTCACAAACATGGACCACAAAACTGGGAATGGTTTCAGTTCCTGCATAATGTTTGTATTAGTCCCCTAACATTTATTTAAAAGCAGCAAAGAACAATTTGTACATTTGATGACACAGCATGCACGTTTTCCTAATGTATCACACACGACCTCTAACTAAATAAAATGGAGGTTCAATAATATGGAGTTATGGATTATAGCTGGTGGTTTGCCTTTGCCTGATGACTGTGTCCTGGCTGGCTGTCCATAGCTGTTGCCTCTTAAGAAGGATCACTCTGTGCTGGTAGAGAAGCCAACCCTGGATTTTTGCATAGTGGTCCAACCCAGGCAAGAAATGGTTGTATGATATCAAACCAGACATGATTGAGGACCAATGGATAGGTGAACAAGTATTCCCCCACCCCCACACACAAACTTGCTGTCTGCTGAACAGCCTGCTTTTCCTTCCTGCGGTGCTACACCTTGCAGGTGCCTTGCAGAGGGAAAGGAAGTGGTTAGGATGCATAGTCATGAAGAGAACTGCCACCTATTTCCTCCTGCCTTATAGACCTGCCTGCACCTGAGGCTTCATGGCCTTTTGCTTTGCCATCTTGACCCTTTGGAGGAGGCAAACTCATTATCATGAGGGCCGAGGGGCAACTTGGGCACATGCCAGTGAATAGTTGTGCTGTGCAGCATAACACATACATACTCTCCTCACACAGAGACTATCTCTGAGGAATTTAAATTGGAGCAAGAGGTGAAGGAAGACAGGAGCAGCCTGTGGCATGCAGCAGCAGGAGGATATCATGCCATGAAGATTAGTGCTGGGCACATGTGTCACTACCCATAGTTTGGTAGTCCTTCCAACCTTGCTGGTCATAGTCACCTACAACTTTCTTCTAGTTGGGAACCTTGGGGGCTAATGGGCAAGGGGTGGTTGCCAAGATGTTTGCAAAAGAGTCAATTGAAGTCCCCCTTGAATTTCTTACTGTGTATGCATCTGCAGGCTGATGCAATGATAGCACTCTCTCTAGGTAAGAAACCTATGGACTGAAGAGGGAGATAAGGCTCTGTGGCTAGCATTGTCTTGAAGCTGTACCTTGACCTCATCTTAGACTCATAAAATCATACTTTCTCTGGGTTGGCAGCACACTGCAGTGGGGAAGCCTTGTTGGGTTTGGAATTTAGAGCACTGAGGGACTTCAGGAGCGAACAGGAATGTATAGCTGTTTAGCAAGAATTGATCATTACAACCTGCAGATATAGTCCCATCAGGAAACCATGTTGGAAATTGTGTATGTGCAGAGTAAATTCTGTACAAAAGGGCAATGTTCAGCACTATTGTCAAGCAGTGGCTAGGTTTGCACCATTGCAACTGACAGTGTGACTTAGCTAAGGTCATGGAGTAGATTGCATGATAAGGGAAAACTTCTACAATTGGTTTTCATTCCAGTTGGGGATACCTTTACCTGTGATCTGTGATGTTTGAGAGGAATGGAAATTTAACAACCAGCTAGGTACCCTGCTCCAGTGCTGCAATGCACAGGCTTTCTGAGCTCCCAGTCAAGGAACAATGTGCAGGCAAATAGAGATCAAGCACCTTCTCCATCTGGCACTTGTATTGGAATGCCCCACAGTGCAGATTTGACCGAGAAATTTCTTCCCTTTAACCACTTCAATGAATTCTGGACTCTGACGTATATAGAAAATTGCACTTTATTGCTTCTAGTACTTTTATTCCAGAAAGGACAGGAAACAGACGTCAGATTTGTTTGAACCCAGGCATGAAAACAAAGACGAGACATTGCTTAGGGCCAGGGATGAAATAGCATCAGCAACAGCTGAAGGACTCAAAGCTAGCCTAGCCACCCCTTCAGTGGCTTCCAGGGAGCTACCATTTATCCTCCCGCTCTCCCCTCCGCTCGCAGTTACTGCCAGCAAGCCCGCCACTCTTCCGCGGCCCCTCCCGCCCTCACTCCGCCGGTCTCCCCAAGTCCTCATCTTCCCCCCATTCTAACCCTCCCCTTCCCCATCATCACGCGTCGCACGATGTCTGGCCGCCCGCCTCGGCTCCCCTAGTAACAGAGTCGGCTTCCTTCGCCTCCAATCAGCAGAGGCTGACTCCCCCTGAACCAATGGCGACGGGGCGGGGCGGGGCCTACCCTTCTATTCGCGGGGGGGGGAAGGGCCGTCCCGCTCCCCACCGCCATTTTGGCCTGTGAGGAACAAAAGAGTTGAGGTGGCTGTTGGTTTGGAGCTGATTGGAAGGTAATGAGGAAGGTTTATTGTTTGTTTTTCTCTCTCTGGGTGCGCTCGGCGAGGTGGCAAGTCCGAAAGAGCCGCATCGTGTCCGGTGCCCTTGATTCCCGCAATGGGCGCCAGCCAGAGCCGTAATAGGGCAACTGCCTTTCGTTCATTTTAACATACTGAAACTGGCAGCGGTTTGGGGCACCATTTTCACCCCCCCCCCCTTCGTTTTACTGAGATCGAAACTGGCTCCTTTTTGTCACCCACGTCCTACTTCAAGGTGTGTGTGTGTGGGGGGGGAGGGCATCCCATTTGAGATAACGCGCTTTTGATCCCAGGGTTGGTGAAATCCCAATATTCTAGGCGTACAAAGGTGTTATCCTTCCCAAGCGAAAGTTTAAAATGTGAGTGTATCCCAGTGTTCCCGGCTACCCGAGTACCTTTGGGATTTGAACGCCGTCTTTCCAGTGACCAGCCCCTAGGAAGTGGCTTTGCAACGCAGTTCAAATACGGCGGCTCGGGAGCGGGAGGCAAAAGGCACCCAAGGCATTTAGCAAACGGAGAAGATGTATGTATTGGGGGGGGGGGGGGGGAGGAATGTTCAAAATAATGGCCAGCATAAAAAGAAGCATCTTCCTTTCCTAGTTTTTAAAAGTTAGCCTTTGGGTATATAGAAGGTCCAAGCCGGGAGGATGAAATCTCTGGAGCAGCAGGTCAGAAGATGATGGGTTAATGAAAACTTGTATGCGCATGATGAATTTCAAAGCTTCTATTGTAATAGGAAATAGATGACTCATTGCTACTTGGGGAATTTTTTAAAAAGAGGCACATATGCCATTCTCTCTTCACATATTCACTTCCTCTATTGTGTTTACATTTTGCTTTCCCAGTTTTGAAACACTTTGAAGGTGTTTAGTGCAAAGCTTTTTCCCCTGATGTGTGTAACTTTAAATGGACTTCTCCTTTGATGGACTCCTAAAATAAAATGCTGAAAACGTACAGTACTACTTTGCATTTAAATAAAAACAGATCTGCCTTTTTGTTTTGTATTAGATTGTTATATTACACTGCTGACATTAATGATGTTCTGTATTTCTACTCTGATCTTTTAAAAGGGACTTTGCTTTTATAGGTTCTTTTGAACTATATATTGGGGTGCATAACATATTAAGTAATATAAGCATGCTATAAATAATAGAATCCCTTCAGCCATGTATTTGGGAGCAATTCAATAAAGTTCAAACTCAATAGAAGTATTCAAAATGTGCTGTAGAAGACACCTTACTAAAAAAATATCTATTTCACAGAATAGTAGTTTTGCCTGTTTATATGCTTTTTGAATTCATAGTTTGATGCACAGACTAAATGCTGGATTCATGACATTCATTTAATAACAGTGCACATGTGCTTTTTTCAGAACAAGGAGCTCAAAGCAATACATAGCAGTGGAGATACACTGAAATGAACAATATTAAGGTATACATGGAAAATAATGAAACCACAGCCACTTTGTAAGATATAAAAGTCTTCATATTAAAATATTTTTCTCATGAATAAAAAGAATATTTGCTCTTGCTAAACTTTCAGGGTTCACCAAATACCAGTACATGATTGAAAGTTGAGTGCCATAAAAGATTAATATATTATTACTACAACCACTAAATTGGTTTTGTCAACTCAATACTTGTGAGATTCAGTGTGGTAATCAGTAGTGCAAAAGCAACTACCATGTATAGTTGAGGTGGAGTAGAACCAGGGAACCTAGATTCAGGAACACTTGGGCACAGAAATTCACTTTGGGACTTACAAGCAAGTTATCTCTCAATTAATATATGTCAAATATGCTGCCTTTCATGGAGGTTGCTTTAATTGGAAAAAATTTGGAATGTATGCTACTTTGTATTTTGGTGGAAAGATAGGCTATAAATCTAGCTAAGAAAATTACATGGATTTAATTACAGGTTGAATAAGTAAAAATAATGTATGGGAACTGCGGTTCATTCAGGGAATCAAAGATGTGATCAGTGTAGAAATTTAACTTAATTTCTTGTCTTAGTTTAGTAATGGCTGTGTTTACATGATATAAAGATAAAAACTCTTGATTTGAGCTCAACTCCTTAGATAAAACCATGTCATGTTCTTGGCAATAATTCAGAAATGGTTTTCCATTGTCTTTTTTCTTTTCTTTCCTATAATGGGATTTTATAATGGTCCCCATCCAAATATTCATGAATATTGCTTAGCTTTATTAGATCACTGTGCACCATAAAATAATCACAGTGATTATGTGCTAGGCTAAAATATGATTAAGAAATGCAAAACATTCCATGTAGCTTAATAAATCTTCATCTGCACAGCCATCTGTTGGTTTAATCTAAACTCTTGCAAAGAGCAGGTGGTTAAGAAGGTGATGAACAAATAAAGTGTTGCTGCATTTATCAGTTGCAAAGAATTAATGGAACTGAAAAGCAACTGACCCACTATGTTGAGAGAATGTGCTTTATTGATTTGATCTATCCAGTGTACAGAAAAAAACAGGAATATCTTAAGTTAGCCATTTTAGATAAGCTTAGAAGGTATTGCAGCTAATACATTCTTAGGGCTGAAATCACAAAAATAACTGGTATTGATAGAGTTGTATCAAGATTTTGTTCAAACAAGATAAAGCTGCAGTAGCAAGCTTTAATTGTAAACAATCTCAGTGGATCTAAATGTTCAGTTCTGAGAAATAAAGAAAGTATGAGAATATATTCGGATATGCAATAAATTACCTTTGAATCAAACAATTTTATTTGCATCTTAGATCCACAGATGATGCTAATCTGTGCACATAGACCTCAAAATAATTGGAGGCAAGAAATAATCCATTTCTAAGGAAAAATAATAATATTTTCTGCATTATTTATCATGTTATTTTTATGGGAGTGAGCACAATTCACCATTATATCATGACAGTTTTTCATGATTGAGCACGCTAGCTTGGAATTAAGGGAGCAGTAGTTCAAAACATCTGGAGGGTATGAGGTTGCAGGACAATGGTTCTCAACCTGTGGTCTGCGGACCTCTGGGGCTACAATGTTGTTACAGGGGTGCATAAAGCCATGAAGAAATGTTATGATTTAAATCTTCAGTTAAGTCTTGGTGGTTTATGGCCACAAAAGGCATTTAAAGGGAGTCCATGGTGAAGAAAAAGTTGAGAACCACTGCTCTAGAAAGTATTTTTAGCATTTGTGTGATGCACGTTAACAATCTGAAGCTTTATTGAAATGAATTGGTGCTTTCTGGATCATAGGTATGACTATAGCAATAGCACTTAGACTTATATACTGCTCTATTAGTGCTTTACAGCAGGGGTCCCCAACCGCCGGTCCGCGGACCGGTACCGGGCCGCGGAACAAGCCTTACCGGGCCGCTGGTTGCTGGGCGCCGCCATCTTTTTTTGGTAAAAAAGTCCTTCCGGTGAGCTTTTCCAGGTAGAAAGCTCACCGGAAGCGCTTTTTCGTCAAAAAAAAGATGGCGCCCAGCTGACGCCGGTACCGGGCCGCGGCGTCGAAAAGGTTGGGGATCCCTGCTTTACAGCACACTTGAGTAGTTTACAATCTCAGCATATTGCCCCCAACAATCTGAGTCCTCATTTTACTGACCTGGAAAGAATGGAAGGCTGAGTCAACCTTGAGTTGATGAGAATAGAACTGTTGACAGTTGGCAGAATTAGCCTGCAATACTGCATTTTAACCATTGTGCCACCACGGCGCCATATACCTATAGCAAAAGGAAAGCCTTGGGATGATTGTGGCAAGCAGCTCTGTAGGATATCTAAACATTGGCTACTTAGAAGGGAAGGAAAATAATTGGTATGGGGATTATGTTAAGTTGGGAGAGGAGGGAAAACTACTGAATTGTTGCTGACTTAAAATGAGTCCAGGACATCCAGAATTTTCTGATTGGTTCCGAGTTTAAAACACAACATTTTTTCTGCTTTATAGAAACCCCTACAAATTGGCATCTTTTATGATTCCATGCATATTGAACTACAAACCTGACCATGAGATTTTAGTCTAATGTACTATGCAGATCCAGTGCATGTGTTCTATTTAAAGTCAGTATATTGTATATGAGTCAATTTAGGAACCCTGGGTTATATTCTTTATGCCATTTCCATAAATAAAGTCTGCAAATGAAAGTCTTTCCTATGTCATCTGTTTCAGAAAGTAAGTCTTAGATCAACATTAAATGCAAGCAGTTAACAATTATGCAATAGGAAAATTAATACTATTCTTACTGGTCAAGCCCAGCCGTTTTCAGCCATCCAGAAGGAACCTATTTTCAACTGGTTCTATTCTAGAAATTTACTGCAAAGCGGTGATTATTATTTTTTGTGGTGAAGTACTAACAGAAGTGGGACAAATGGGTATCATTCCTGTTTTCTCCCAAGGAAGATTTTTACATGATCCCTTGAAATTAGATATGCATTTAAGCTGCCTCCATGCTGGGCCAGTGTCGTTTGAAGGTGAAATCATGAGGAAATCTAGCAAGGCGTCTTTATATTGTGCTTAGAAGGACATGAAGATAAGCCCTTAGAATCTGCTAGATGCTGTAATAGATTGCATCAAGGAGTGTAAGAAAAAGAATGAATGGTTGATTCCACATATTTAAAAATATGCACTACATAGATATTTCACCTTCTTAACTGAAGTTCAGATGCTTTGGTAAATGAAAACCATTGGAAGAAAGTAATTAAAATGTATGATGGGATAGCTTTAGCTAATGATATCAGTATCTTCACTTTACTAATTCAACTTCCCTAATAAACTTAATGTTGATCTGACAAGCACTGTTTATATGCTCAAATCTAAACTGCTGAAAATAGCCCTTAAACAGGGTTCTTCACACATTGCTTTTCTTACATCAGGATGCTGTACACCTGCTGAATATCAGTTTAATACTGTCATTGTTGGCATTTATAACTTATTTGAAATATTGAAGTCTAATTTACTTTCTTCCTTTTACTGTAATTCAAA